ATCCTCTGACTCCGGCAACCTGAACATCCTCATCCTCCTCGACCTCACCGCAGCATTCAACACCATCAACCACGCCATCCTGCTGTCCCTCCTCGAATCATCACTCAACATCACCGACACTGCACTCTCCTGGTTGAAATCCTACCTCACCGACAGACATCAGTTTATCAACATCAACAACTGCACCTCCTCCACTGCTCCTCTGTCCCAAGGCGTCCCCCAGGGTTCGGTGCTTGGCCCCCTCCTCTTCATCCTCTACATGCTCCCCCTTGGCAAAATAATTTGTCGCCACAACCTTCAATTTCACTGCTACGCCGATGACATCCAACTTTATATCTCAACAAAAACCATCACCCCCACAACACACTCCACTTTCACCAACTGTCTCTCAGAAATAAAAGCATGGATGCAAACAAACTATCTCCAACTGAACAGTGCCAAATCAGACATCATCATCATCGGCCCCCCATCCCGTACCAAAGCCATCCAGAATTTCACCATTGACAGCCACACTCTATCCCCCCCCCCTCACATCCGCAACCTCGGAGTCATCTTCGACAGTCAGCTCAAATTCAACCACCACATCAATCACATCACCAGGACCGCCTTTTTCCACCTCAAAAACATTGCCCGTCTCCGCCCATCACTCTCCTCCTCTGCTGCTGAAACCCTGATTCATGCATTCATCACATCACAACTCGACTACTGCAATAGCATCCTCTACGGCAGGGGTGCCCAACCTTTTTTGAACCAAGAGCTACTTTTAACGTTGCCAGTCTGCCGAGATCTACCAGTCCAATAAGAGAGGGGGGGGGGGCTGGGGTGCTAGCGAACTGTCAACTGGGGGGAGCCTTGCTGCGGGGAAACGGTGGACCTCTGTCGGTGCAACTTCAATGATGCCTTTTAAAAACGGCGAATCGAGCAGGCCCTTGATGACCGGCTGTTCTGTGATTCTCCAGATTCTACAGATGGAGGGTGGAAAATACATACCGGAAGTAAAAAAAGACGTGCAACGGGACGGTGTTCCCATGGGAAACAAAACTTAAAATATTAAATGAAACAATCTCATCTCTTAAAATTCACAACTTATTATGAATTGAACATTCACAAACTTATAATTATGTATTCACATGTTTAACTCTGTTACATATGCATGCAACGAACACAAGAGCGTAGGGCAGAATTAGGAGGGAATTCCGTCTCGTAGCGTGTGTGCACCGTTTTGAAATGCCGCTTTAAATTACCCTTCTTCGGTAAAGCCACGCTCGCATTTCAGATGAGACAGATGGACTTTGAATTGGAATAAACAAAAAAATTATCATCCTCCCACTCGAAGTGAAAATGATATATTTTGGGCTTTTTTGCTTCTGCCATAATTGTGGTCTTGTGTGTGTGCGGACTGTCACTCCTGTTGGTTGACACGGACAACGTCAGCTAACTAGTGCCATGCGCACCAGCCACGCCCCGACACATGGGGTCACGCCAATCACAAAGCTTTGATGCGTTCATGTGCATTATTCTGGCACAGGAAGATTATGTTATAGGACATTAACGATAAAACATAATATTGTTGTTCTATTTTTAGACACATCTCGCAATCGACTGGGAATCTCCCCGCGATCGACCAGTCGATCGACTGGTTGGGCACCCCTACTCTACGGCATACCATCCAACCTCCTCAATAAACTCCAACATATCCAGAACTCAGAACACTGCCTGCCTCCTCACCCACACCCGCTCCCGAGACCACATCACTCCCGTCCTCCAGAACCTCCACTGGCTCCCTGCAGTAGCGTGGCGTGGGAAAAAAATTAGGGGAAGCCAATAATATGTCCTTTCTTTTGGGTTGGGGGTGTGGTGGTCAATGTAATAACGTAACCAGATGAGTGATTACAGCACCCGGTATCATTTTACACACATTTGTATCATACAGATGCAGGACTTACACACGCCTGTTATCTAACCGACAGGTCCGCACGCACTCTCCAGCCCAAACTCTAATAAGCATTCATTCACAAACTAAATCAGGAGACCCTCAAAGTTTTACGTCCGATTCACTCCTTTTTTCCTCGCTGTACACAGCTCCAGTTTGGGCATTGGCCTGTCATCAGATTGTATTTGTTGTTGTTGCTGCTGTAGCGGAAGTTTAGCACAATTATTTTTGATTAAATACTCCAAATCTCCACCCTCCATAATTGCACTTGCTTCAGTTGCTTACTACTGTCTAACGGCGGTGAGAGTGGTGCAGTGACGCTATCTATCTTCTATCGATTAGATTTATGATTCGAAAATTATAAAAGTAGGGTAGACATGTGGATATTATCCGACTGAACAAAACGTGCATTTATCTAACAGGTTCGTTTTCCACTGACCTTATTTCGAGCTATTTTCCAAAATCCTATGGAGAAATCCCATTGCTTTTTTGTCGAGGGAAACATGAGGGAAACCGAGCGCAGCTTACTTCCGGGTTTTAGGACGCGTCACTGCAACACTAAGTTGATGCGATTTGATTGGATTGTGAGGCAAGGGAAGCCAGCCGCCTCTGGCTTCCCTTGGCATGGCCCTGACTAATCACAGGTTGGCAGGGGCATGACGTGAGCCTTGTCTGATTGGTCAAGCCCTCCATTTTTTTTCACCAAGGGAAGCCAATTTCAGCTAGCCTCCTCTCGCAACAGAGAGTGTAATCTACTGTTTCACCATAACATCTAGAGGGGCGCTGTTTCACTCTTTGTAAAATACTCAATGAGAATGGGGGAGAGACGGGCCGGCAGCAACACACAACAAAGAATTTCCGAAACTAAACAAAGTGTTTTTATTTATTTATTAAAATTATAACTACAATCCGAAAAAACAGGGGAAGCCTGGCTTCCCTTGGCCTCCAGGAGAAAACGCCACTGGCTCCCCGTCCGTCAAATAATCGACTTCAAAGTCCTCCTGATTACTCACAAAGCCCTCAACAACCAGGCTCCCCCCTACCTCACGTCATGACGCAAACGATGACGCAATGACGCAGCACCAGTCGGACTCTGGGCGGTGTGAAAAGAGCCGTAGCTAAACCGTAGAACCGGTACTGAACCTGAAAAGCTCTAGCACGGAGCTTGAACCGGAGTTGCGTTGGTGTGAATGAGGTAAGTTAGCTCCCACTGTGTCTGTCTCTGCACACCAGCTGACTGCAGACCAGCTGACTGCAGACCCTCCTCCTTCAGCTTCGGGCGGCCAGGCGGAAACACACAGGTCCTCACACTGTGTGGATATGAATCGAACTACAAATAAAATAGCCTGCCTGTAGTTGTAGAGAAGAGCTTTGGAGAGGAATCACATGATCTAACAAGCACTATTAAATTGCCCTAATAAAATAGGTCTGCATTTACTGATCACTGACAGATGCACATGGCTGTGGGTGGATGTGATCAATCTGCACGTTATGATGATGATGCTTTAAACTGATTTGTTGTGGCCTAGGACTCTTACAGATATAATAACACAACATCCGTTCCATCCTGCTCTGGGCTTTTTCCTAATAGTCCCGCCCCTTCCATAACCATTTTGCAAGATACATGAGGCCATTTCAAATCATCTCAACTAGAAACTAAAGCACTTGTTATGTTCATAACTCTGACATTAAGTCGTGTTATGGCATACTGCAATGATCTCTCTTCATTGGCAGGTGTGGTCTGATTTAAAGGGTATCTTTAAGTTGTGCCCTCACAGAAATGATGTCATTCTGCTGTTTGTTTGAAAACAGACTGTCGCACATTTTGTAGCTGACCGAGAACGAGAAGAATTATTTATGTCATGGCTGCGGGCCAACTAACACAGCAGGACAGCTCTGTGACATGGAGTTCTTGTTCCTGCTAGCCAGATGCCCCCGCCCCTCTATTATGCATGTGGTACGAGCTGTACATGTAATGGGTTGTAGTGTGCTGATTGCTGATTCAATTCCATTCACTTTTAAGTGTTCCGTTTCATTCAACGACGAATGGGAAAATGTTATTATTGTTACAAAGCAATAGTTAGCAAGGTTAGCTTAGCATAAGGCTAGAAACCTCGGGAACAGAACAGCTCACCTGACTGTTTTCCAAACAAATTGTTTCATTCTAGTACATTACTTTAGGAGAGGTGAGTTTTTTTAAGAGGTTATTCCATTATTTTGGGCTGCAGCTACTTTGTATGTTAGCAACAATGAGGATTAGTTTTCTACATTTTAGGTTCAACTTAATATTATTGCTTTCAACTAACCTGATACAGTTATGTGAAAGGTGTTGACCTACATTAATCAGTGTGGGTTTTATTCTGCGAAACAAATATTCTGTTTAGCAGCATTTTGAGTTCAAATGTATTTCATATCAGTGTTTCATACTTCTTAACAGAGTAATAACACAATCAAAAGTAATAAGTCCTCTCTCTGACAACAGACAGTCCTCAATGTTTGATTGGCAATGAAAAATGGTTCATGCTGTTTATTTACATCAGTAAAGCATTGAACAATGCCAGCACAACATTGTTTATGTGCACACAATAATGTCATCGTGCGGGTGGTGAGGTAAGCGGTCAGCTGAATGGTGTCCAGTGTGCCGGGTGGAGGCAGTGCCGGGGCAGCAGGCCTGAGCCAGCCTCTGAGGAGGAGGAGGAGGAGGAACACAAAGACCCTCTCTCTGCTCTTTGTGGTCCCGCTCAGACAGATGCTGGCCCCCGGCTGCAGGCAGAGACCTCCACCATGATGTGAGAAGCTTTATCTAAATCTCTGCTAAGGATACCTTTTAATGAGTAGTAAGCTGTTTTCTGTTGTGCATTGTTTCTCTGCAGCCTCCAGCTCTGTGTATTGACCTCCATCATTGACTTACCATATTGACATATTGACTAAGTTGCAGGCTGCTGGAGACCTCCTTACAACCAGGGAGAGGAAACAACACACCAAACTGTAGCCTGATGCTGTTTTACATGTCTCTGTGGTACTTTACCTTGGTTACATGAGTGCATGTGTGTGTGCTGTTTTGCAGTGTGTGGGATGCTCTAACCGACAACTACATCTCCACCTGGGACGGCAACGACTCCGAGGGACTCAACGGCAATCTGTCGGACCAGGAGGTATGAATCACTCCACGCCCTTATATTTGGTTAAGATCTGTGAAAATAGTCTGTCCAATTTAGCTGTTGGGTAAAATCTGTTTTTGATAGTTTTAGTTTTATATCAGTACAGAAAGACACAATGTGTCATTATGTTTTAGTCTGAGAGGTCCAGCTGAGCAGCTAACATCGTCCTGACACTTTCTTTCTGAGGCTTATTCTCATGCTGACACTTGAAGACATGCCTGGCCAACCTTGACTGTGCTGCCATTCAGCAGAGCCCCCCTCTTCCTCTCTCTCCTTAATGGCCTTATACAGCTGGACAGCAGGCACTTAGCAGTCTGGGCCATGTTTGGGCTGGTCAAGGCCAGACTGAAGGTCCTGCCCCAGAGAGAGAGGAGGGTAGTGGAAGTGCAGCATAGTGCTCCAGTCCAGCTGCTTCCAGCCTTTAGTTCAGCTGTGTGGGAGTTTCCGTCTGTCTGAACCACATTTCAGAGTTGAAAATGGAACATAGTGGAGTATATTGCTTAATAAAAGGTGACACTAAATAATGTAAAACCTATCAAATATTTAACCATAAGACTTTCTGTGACTGATCTCCACCATGCCAGGCAAAGTTATTTTAAGAAATGATTGTGGATTTAGCGCTTTGTCTCTCATTTATCACGAAGACACACTGTACTGTCCCAGCTGTTTGTTTGTTGCTCTCATGCTTTGTCTCCCTTTCTGCAGATCCACGAAAAAGAGGAGGAGGAGATGAATGAGAAGAATGACAACGCCAACTGTCTGAATGAAGAGCCTCTTATCACAGCTGATCAGGTGTGTGGGAGTGTGTTTGTGTGTGTTAAATAACAAACAGCCCTTTCTCAGTGTCCGGTTTTTGATAATATGACAAATAAATCAGGGTGTAAAACAGGGGTTTGCCCATCAAGCATGAAATCAATGATATCATCCCTGCAATCCTGGAACAAGTCTTTGGGTGTGAACAGCATAAAGAAAGAAAGTGAAGGACCAAGAACAGATCCCTGAGGAACTGTTTGGACTATTTGAACTGCTAGATGTGCTATTCCCATTTTGATCCATATATTGTCTCCCTGCATCCTGCCATATCCTCTCTTTAAGGTCATTGAGGAGATAGATGAGATGATGGAGAACTCTCCAGATCCTGTTGAAACTGAGGAGGAGGAGGAGGATGAGGAGGAGGAGAGCAGCCGCTGCTCCTCCAGCACCAGCCCCTCCCTGCTGGAGGAGATCCGGCAGCTGTCCCTGGCCTCCAACAACAACTGCTCCTACGAAGGTACGTTTTCTTACAGTAAAGCAGTCTTTCAAATGGTAATACACCGTACACAGGTAGTACACAGGTGAGTGCCTGTGAAGCATGTCGTTCAACTTCAATCAAATACCATAGACCACCTACCTATTCCCCCCTTCTTGCCTCCCTGGACATTATAGATATCACAATGGACAACATGATCAACTAGAGAATGCAATTCCTGAAGAAATTGCTAGTGGGAATGCTTTATGCTGAAAAGCTGACGCTAAACTGCTATGCTGAAATGTAATGTGTAAGAAGAAAGTGAAGAATTTAGATTGAAATGATACATGAACACTGGGGGCTTGAATGTGTGATGAGAGAAGAAAGTAAAAAGGCTTGGAAAAGCAGCAGAATATTTGAACTGCAAACTTCTGAACTAACTTGATGGTGAATGATCTGTCGCCATGCCAACGGCATTTGATGACATCCCATAATACGCTTAGATGTGTTGATGGCTGCATCGTTACCAAACCTGTGAAGTTTTGGGGCGTTTGGAGCAGTTTCACTGAAGTTATGAGAAAAACATGTTTCATGGTGAGCATTGTGTTGCCATGGCAACGGCATTTGAAGAAATCTCAAAACTGTCCCGTAGATGTCTTCACAGCTGTACTGTTGGCACACATGTGAAGTTTGAGCACTTTTTGAACATTTTACAGGAGTTATAGCGACATCGTGTTTTATGGTGAGGGAAACGGCATATGATGAGGACACCCCATAATTGACATAGAGCTGTTGAGGGCAGGAGCATTAACCTTTATCTGAAGTCTGCTGCTCAGAGCAGGTCAGCTGGAGTGATGACATCATCGTGTTCCATGACACAGGTGTTTATAGTTGAACTAACGAGGTGTGCAGAGATCACAGGTTTCCATTGTTCTGAATGAGAGATGAACCTGTTACATGTGAACGTTTTGTGGAAGAACCGTAACAGATATCTGTGATATTTCAAAACGTGAAGCATGTCAAGGAAGTTGAGTATTTGAAGTGTAATTTGTGTGTACTTTCGGGTTAATAATGTGGCCTTTTTGGCAGTTTAACTAAAGGTGTGCAGCTGCTGTGGTGGGGAAAGATGAGGCTGAACTTACAATGGGGTTTAATGGAGGCATGTTGAAAGCTTTTGTCACTTCATGCCCTCAAGAGACATTTTGTTTAATTATTTTTGCGTTATTTATTTTTATTTTTCAAGCTACGAGATGTTTTCCTACGTTTGTCATGAAAAATGATGTCTCAGGAATGTAGGGTTTGGGAATTATGGCAGTTTTAAAAAGAAAATATGAAGGCAACATTAAATCTGTCCTCCACTCTAGCTGTGACATCACACACTCTAAAACAAGGTCTGAACAAGGTTTAATATCTCTAAAAGTCAGAATGAGATTTAAAAGTTGTTTTACACGAATAATGTCAGAAAGATGTGTAACATTTTAAAGTTGGAATGAGGTTTCTGAGTGAAAGTATGAAGGAGCAGTTAGCAGTTGAAGTTGCATGAAGATTGTTGAAGTCTGAAGAGTTCTCCATTGACTTCCATGTTAAAAATGTGATGTATTATGGGATGTATCTCTGGAATTATGAAAGTTATGAATGATAAAAGTAAGAGCCATCGATTCCCGACCGAGCTGAACGGTTTGATGTTTGAACGGAGTTTCTGCGATGTGGAATGTGGGAGAAGAAGAGGTGCAAAATAACCCGGCGGAATAATAAAGAATTTTGTGCGTATCATAACAGATAGTGGGAAACAAGCAACACAAGTTGCTATATATATCCATTTAATGTAACAACATGTTTGCTTTTTGCGAAGAGGCTGGAGAGATGTGTGTCACCAGGACACCGTTAAATAACAAGTTTTGATTAAGTAATCCACATGGTTATCTCCTTTCAGAATAAATGAATTGTTAGTGTTAAATGTAAATGATGGGTTTGAACCTGTTGCTTATGTGAGGATTTAGCTTTTGATCCAATTGTCTTCACCTCACAATGTTTCTCAACCTGGGGATTGGGATCCTCCAAGTGGTCATGAGATTAATTGAAATGGTTGCTTATTTTTCTCAAATCTCCCCTATGGAACCCTATAAATCTTATTAAGTATATCCTCTGAATAATCTGCAGAGGTGATATCACTCTGTGATCGAACTGCCCTAAATTCAATTCATAAACGTTCAATATGCGTCAGAAATCCTTTCTGTTGGAAGTTGGTTACTAACAACATTAAGTTGAGAACCACTACCCTGAAAGAGATGAACACAGTTAAGTAAATGAATGATAATGCTAGTGTCAGAGAGACCAAATGGTGTTGCAGTAAACATATCGTTTTGGTGACAAGTCTTTTCCGCCAAATGGAGTCAAATCCAGCACTCCTGATTTAGATCATATTTTAGCATTACCTCTGATCCGCTGGGTACAGCTGCACAAAGTAAAACCCAACTCTCCCCTGCAGGTCTGACTCTGATGCCCAGCTCGGGGCTGGTGGAGCTGCTGCAGCGGGTGGAGGCCACCATCAGAGAGTTCTCCGAGGAGCTGGTCGGCCAGCTGGCCCGGCGCGAGGAGCTGGACTTTGAGAAGGAGGTGAAGAACACGTTCATCACGGCCCTGATGGAGGTGCAGAACAGGCAGAGGGAGCAGCGGGACAGCAGCAAGCGCAGACGCCGGGACAAGACCCTGAGCCTGCAGGGGGGGGGGACGCCCCCTGTGACCGGAGGGAACACAGCCAACACAGAGAAGAGTGGGAGCATGCCTGTCAAGGTGAGACACATGCCCTTAAATACCCTGAATTATTCACACTATATGAGTCTGTGGGAATGCCCTTTTACACACCTTATGCAAGCTTGTTCTCCCATGTCCCTACACCAGAGATAATGTGCCCGGATTATCTCAGAAAAGGTGTTGTGCGCAATTTTCATTAAGTTAAGTCAATTAGAATTTTTTTTAAACGCACAGTGCTTGAAAACTCTCCCTCTTACTTCTCATTGACTTTTGGCATAATGGATCTCAGGTCCATTAGCCTGTTAAGTGTCTTCCAGGAAAGCTCCTAAAGAGAGCAGTGTTCTCATACAGTAACAGTCCAGTCTGTCCAGGAACAGAAAAACAACCTAATGCATTTCCTCTCCATGCGGCAGCTTTAATGTGCTGACTGCAGGGTACCTGAGGCTGCATCACTGAAGGAATATTAATGGACACATGTCTTACTGATGCAGATGCAATATAAACAATAAAGCTTTTAGTACTGTGATGTCATGATCCTGTACTGGATTCCGACAAAAAATACTCTTGATCAGACTCTCAACTTGATCAAGAAAGCTATGATCAGCAGCCTTTAATAATGTATATTTTGGTGTGTGTGTGTGTGTGTGTGTGTGTGTGTGTGTGTGTGTGTGTGTGTGTGTGTGTGTGTGTGTGTGTGTGTGTGTGTGTGTGTGTGTGTGTGTGTGTGTGTGTGTGTGTGTGTGTGTGTGTGTGTGTGTGTGTGTGTCGCCCACAGCGTTTCAGCATGGAGGGACTGTCTAACATCCTGCAGACCGGCATCAGACAGACATTTGGAAGCACAGGAAATGAGAAACAGGTAAAGACAGAGTTAAAAAGTTTTAGGTTAAATCAAACCATTTATGGTGTTGTAATTACACAATTAAATATTATACACCAGACACTAAAGAGAATGGTTAAAAATGAGCATTAGATGAACCTGTAACACACTCATAATGGACAGAGCCAGGCTAAATGTGTCCTTCTTTTTCAAAATCTTGGTTAACTGAACCATCAGAATCAGAATACCTTTATTCGTCCCACAGAGGGGACATTTTCATCTCCTGACTCCAGCTTTATATTCATATATTAACATCAGAGTGGATTTAATACTTTCACCTAAATCTGGCAAGAGAGACAATTAGCATATTTCCCAAAATGTGGAGCTATTGCTTTTCCGGTGCTGTGCTGTGTTAACCCTGATCATTGAACGTCTCTGTTCCAGTATCTAAACACAGTTATTCCATATGAGAAGAAAGGCATCCCTCCAACTGTTGAAGACCTGCAGATGCTCACAAAAAGTAAGAATAGCCCAGAACACAAAGGCAAATACAAATCTACCAGCGGGTGAAAAGAGTATTCCCAGTTAAAACACTTTATTTCCCACCTAGTTCTCTATGCCATGAAGGACGACAGTGAGAAGGTGCCTACATTGCTAACTGACTACATACTGAAAGGTAAGGAAACAACGTACATTTAGTACATTATTCTATTGACTGGAACTCTTACCACAGTAGACCTGCACAAAGGAAACACAATCACAACAGTGTTTGTTCTCTGATTGGAATATTGTCTTATTTCTCATTATGCTACAATAATCACTACAATAATGTATTATATACCCTCCTGTAGTGACTCAGCACTGTTATGCTGTCTCCTCTCCAGTCTTGTGTCCCACCTAAATCTCTGGAGGCCAGGGGCCACATTGTGACGGAGACTTCTTCCTGAGGGCTTTCCACCCCTCCCTGCCTCTGGCCCCCGCTGCATGACCTCCCATCTTTACCATTATCAATCATGGATCCTCACCATCAACATCATTGTATCCACCTCGACTCTGATTACTGCCTTTCGCTGAGCTCACCCCCCCCCCCCCCCCACCTGCACACTGCGCTCAGGCCAGACAACATGGCCTCCATCTGAAGTTCAACAAGTAGTTTACAACTGTAAAGGACTTCACTAACGGAGCATGACATGCTATTAATATCACAACACCACTTCGCTACAGGGATACAACATTATTTTTACTTTCTTTTTTAATTTCTATTCTCTACAGTCTCTTTGTTTCCTCTAACATAATGTTGCCAAATGTTTAAACATGTGTTCAAACTGAGCTCTTTCCCACTGAGTTCTGTTGCCTGTTCTCATTGACTCATCAGGACCACACTGTCAAATAAATGAAATGCCATACCGCATCCACACATGATACACCCTATGTGAACATTCATTTGAATATAAAAGCCATGCACCTTTTCTGCCAACTTAGTACTGTAGCTCCATGTGGATGAGAGGAGACACGCGACTATTACGGGTGCAGTGCATATTAAAGCTTTTTTCTTTTTAGTTCACCTAATATGCTCTTCTGACTCTTTTTCAATTACTTTACATTTTTTCAAATTTTTTATATAAACTCTGTCGTTGACTTTTGACTTTTATTTACCGTGTCATTTCACCCTGTTCAGGATAAGTGGAGGCGTATTTTTTTGTTGATATATCATCCCCTGATGTGATGAGCTCATTTCAATAAGGCGTGCATATTTGCATATTAGCACATGTATGACTTCCTTTGTGCCATGTAGGTGAATGTTACATCGCTAATCGCTAATTCTAATAAACATTCTACCCTAGCTTTGACTGCATCTGTCTTTCTGTCTTTACCCTCAGAGTTTAGGTAACATGTCAATTCTGATGAGCCCCGGGATATCTCTACAGCACAAAGGGTGTTTTTATGGGAGAGAAACTCCCTCTGAAGAGAACAGGGTTTTAGCCTTTGCAGACTATTTACATGCACTAAAACCTGTGACACACTACAGGAGAGGGAAAACCCCAAAAGCAGAGTTGGTGTGGAATGGACCTCGCTGTCAGTGAAGTCCATTCTCAGTGTGTGCACTGGATGCTTCACATTTACATAATATGTAAGGATTTCAAGTATGGATACTTGAAATCCTTAGCACCATATTTTTTGTACGTTTGAATACAAAATACATACATCTTCATGGGTCAGTATTTCTAACTTTCAGCACACACTTGCAAAAAATGCTACAGAACTTCCTCTCAATTGTGATTGGTGCATCTGTCACTGCTCTGAGCAGGAGAGAACCACAACTCCATCAGGTCAGGGTTAGCATCATAACACATCTCTTATCAGTAACCAATTGCACTTGAAGAAACAAAACAAAAATCATAGTGTTGGAGTGTTTAATACAAATATATAGATATATTTAAACCATCAATGATGCTTCTTAAAGGATGATTTGAATGCTTGTCTATTTTAATCTTGATTTAAAGTTGTTCAATTATCAGATTTGTTTAACCTTCTCTGGCAGTTTGTTACTTGTGGCTCTGCTTGATCTGACCCCTGAAACAAGACTTCAAATGTTACAATGTGTGTCTGTTGCCTTAAGACAACAATATGCAGAGAAAGGGTTGAGTTTGAAATGTATGTGTACTTTAGCATAAGGGTATTTCTTTTGGCTTCTTGTGTCGCTGATAGAGAGACTGGTGGCAGAATCGGAGTTGTTACAAGTGTTACAGCAAACTGGGATAACAGCGGATAAAAGGCATGCCATCATAAATAATAAGCTCACTTATCAAATATAGGAAAGAAAGGATTAGTTAAAGAAAATATGTACAAAGCTATGGCTAAAAATGTTGGGACATTTATAACAAAGTGATTATTGCACTGTATTGCAAAAAAAGTCCTACATTATATCTCAGGATGACCTCCGGGATTGTGAAATATATTAAGTCCATTTAAATGCTTCTAAAGGCTTATTTTTGTACTTCTAGATCCATTATAATGTATATTAGGAAATAAATGTTATAGTCAGATATACACATTTCTGAAAGGTGGTAGTGGAAATATGTTTTACCCTGTACTGGCTTACTATGGCCAGTAGAGGGCAGATGCAGACAGCGGTTATTAAATGTGACTGTTTCTGCTGAGAAGATGAATGTGATGCTCTCGTATGGCTACAATACACTCATACACACACACACAAGTGATCATTTCTCTTTTAATTGAAAATGTTTTACAAAGCTTTTCCATAAACATAAATATGGAGTATACAAGTGCACACTGTACATGGAGGTCCACAAGTCAGGCCTACTGCCTACATGACGAGCGTCTGGCCTCCAGAACAATCCATCATGGTGGAACTCACTGACAGCGAGCTCTGTGCTCTTATACATCACTGTATCAAAATAAAGGCTTGTCTTGAATACATTTGTATGTTCATAATGTACACTGCCATTCACAACAATGTAGCTCTATAAATGATTTCCTTACCACTTCCCACATGAACTCTTGTCATTTGGCTTTAATGTAGTAAAAACAATACAAAAAACAATAACTTCCGAAGCTTCCTGGCAGCTCACTGACCCGTCAGGCTTCAGTGAAACACATGATGTGACTCTTCAACATCATCACGTACATCCTCTGCTCACACATGCTCCAGTGTAATGACAACACAGCACAATGGATAGTATGATCATTATACATATATCTGTTTTTCCTTTCTTTAAATAATTCAAATTATATCGCAATAGGCATTTTTGTGACTTCAAGGTGGAGAGAAAAAACATGATTAACACTTTTTTCTTCTGTCTTACGTTTTATAGATGTATTGATTTTGCGCATTATTTATTATTAAGACTTTAGCCATTTTGATTTATACTGACTCTGCATAAAGATATTATACATTTAAAAGCTAACATTTATAATAAGTTCATAATCTTAATGATCACTCACTGAGCACAGTGCCTCTGTGTCATGTAGTGTGTTCATGAGCTACAGATGGAAACGATATTTCTTATTTGAAATGGAAACTAGCAGTAGCAGTATTAAGCCGCCATTTATTTGATCATATTCTGGAAGTTGCTTCAAAGCCCCAAACTTAAAGGAGGTGTTTCTCATGAAAGGAAACAGTATCAGAGCACTATAGACACCTTCCCGAACAACACGTGGACAATAGTGATCTTGATTTGGAAAGACTTGTGTCAGCTTCCTGTTACTGTAACTTGGAAACAAATCCGTTTTTTTCCAACTGACTTGAATTAGAAAGAAAAGAGAGAAACATGTAACTATGAAGCGTTCCATCCTGTTCATCTTTGGTTCGGTATCCAGTGGTGCAGGCAGACATGGGACCTGTGTTATATTTCCTATAGGCCTACAGGCCAACACTATGCTATGCTGTAAGAAAATAAATATCATATTTACAATTTCAATTTAGCTGGCAACTTTAAATTATTCAAAGTTTGGACTCGTGTTTCAGCAAAGTCACCAAACTGCATTTCTAAATACTGCTCAATATTCTAAGAGGCTTTTGCTAATCTGTGTTTAAAGAATTCAGTCTGAAAGCATTTTATAATCTGAACCACCGACAGAAGTAAAGCCAAAAAAAGGATTACAAATATTTTGCAATGCCAAACTTGAATCATGTATAACGTCCTGCTGCTGCAGCAACACACTCATTAATACACATCTTCATATTGTACACCCAGCCCCTCCCTGGCTCGGACATTCACTCCTCTGTCTGATATATTGTGCTAACATCTATTGTGTCTTGACAGTCCCTTCTTTAGGTTGTGTTCATATGAAGATAATGGACACAGCTGACCTGCTTAGCCCTCTTCTTCATTATTATATATTCATCTGTGAGACCCCCCCCCGGTCATTATCCATGTGCTTCATTCTTGTGTGGCAGGAGAAAAATTACAATACAACGTTTAAAAAATATGAAACAAAGAAACAAATGAAATGTTAGATATGCATTGATAAAGTAGAAAAGTGGATACTTGACAAATGTATGAAAATCATTTCTACAGTATACAGTTTGAAATGTATACGGTGCATAAAGAATATAAAAGACTAACGTATAAGTAAAACAGTTTGTGTCTGACAGTCAAGCAGGAAGTGGAGTGGAGCTCTCCATCCTGTGTTCCTGCTAACGCTAGGCGTAGAGTTCCCCTTCAACATATCTGCAGCTGACCCTCTCCACAGTGTGTGGGGGGGCAGGACAGTTTGTGTCAGCGCTGTAGGTTTACACCAGAGATCCGGCCTGGTTCTGTGCAGGCACCATGATGGGCACCCCTCCCATGCGGGCGATGTTGGAGGCAGTGACCGTGGAGGTGGGCAGCGGTGGGGGGGCGGGGGCGGGGGCAGCCTGGAGGTGCTGAGGCTGGCTGTAGGTCTGTGGGAGCACTTGGGCCTGGGGCAGCTGGCCGTAGCGCTCTGGCCTGGGGAGGGAGCTGCCGTTGGTGCTGGCCTCCGAGGGGAGGGCCCCCACCCGCGGCAGGGTGCTGTTGTTGTTGTAGCTGTAGTGGGTGGGGGTGGGGGTGGAGGCGCCGTGGTGGCGGGAGGGGCGGTACCCGGCCATGCTGCCCGTGGCCGTGATGATGGAGGCGGTGTCTGAGGGGGGGCGCTGCGGGTATTGCTGCAGGTGGTGGTGGTTGTTGTGGTGGTGGGGGGGCTCTTGGTGGTGGGGGCTGGAGCCGATGGAGGACAGGGTCCCGTTCTTAGAGATGATATCTGACCCCATGCCACTCTTAGCCCAGGACACACGCTTAGGAGCCTGAGCGTCCTCCCTGCGGGGGGGGGACATGACACAACGTCAACTTCCTGTTTCAGATTACTGTCAAATAGTGTTTTAGTCTCGGAAGGGTTCCTAACTGAGTAACATTACCCAGAAGTCACTTGGTGTCAGCCATGATAAGAGCTGTTTCTCTACATGATAGGAGAGGAATTAATGCTTCTTCATTGTCTCATTTAGCTCAGCACTACACATAATGCTGTCCCACAATTCCTTGCAGCGCCAACATATAAAGTGGCAAACCAAATAGGCCGATCATAGAACAACCGATAGTGACCAACAAACATAGATCATGTAATTTACAGAGCTTTATATCTTATTCCAAATCTTGCTAAAGTTCTTATTTGTCTTTGTCTTATTTATCCGTATTACTGTTATGAAATCATCAAATGAAGTCAGAATTCAAAATATGGACTGAGTTTGATGGTGTTTCTTAAGTTTGGTCCTTATCTGTTATTTGATTTGACTTAATGTGTTTATTTATTATTCATAACGTGTGCATATCTTTTCATATAATATGTAAGTCTACTCTTTTGACTTAATACTCTTGCTGTTGTAAATGTCCCTGTTGCGGGACAAATAAAGGAATTCTGATAGTGTGCTGAAGACTTCTCCTTCACATCTTTCCTTGACCCCATGACATTTTTCACTGATGTTAAGGATTAGTGATTAGTGAAAGACAGAGGAGAGGATTTGACCGCAGCCACAGAGTGTACGTGTGTCCCTTATATTACTCCTCCTGTAGATGTATACATGGACACTGATAAAGGCTCGCCACACCAACTCACTTGATCTCGTTAGCCATGTCGTCCTCGTTGTCTCTCCGCCTCTTCACCTGGAAAACCAGGCAGATGAGGAGGAGGAAGATGAAGCCGACCACTGAGCCCACTGTGGCGCCAACAATCATCCCCACATTAGTGGCTACAGGAAGAATGATGGGAAACACAGTAATTATGTCTACATAGCATTCATATTGTTTTTGTGAACGTTCTCTTTGTTAAACTCAAAGGAGTGTGTCAAATCAAAATGGTCACATT